CCCTCTAGAAGGCGTCCTTGGGGCCCTGGACTGGACTCTGGCCTGCCTGCCTGTGGCCGTGGCCCTCCCTCGTGCTGTGCTGGCTCTGTGGTCCGACTCTACCTGAGAAGCCTCTTCTTGAGGTCACACGGGGCTTGCTTCAGTACCCATGTCTCTCAGAAAGCCTGTCCTGACTTGAGGGGCTGAGCACACCAATGATGTCACTTCTTTTTTTTAAATCTATTTTTATTGATTTCAGAGAGGAAGGGAGAGGGAGAGAGAGAGAGAAACATCAGTGATGAGAGAGAATCAGTGATCGGCTGCCTCCTGCATGCTCCCTACTGGGAATCGAGCTCGCCACCCAGGCATGTGCCCTTGACCGGAATCGAACACAAGACCCTTTGGTCTGCAGGCCGACGCTCTATCCACTGAGCCAAACCAGCTAGGGCAGTGGTTGGCAAACCGCAGCTCTCGAGCCACATGAGGCTGTTTGGCCCCTTGAGTGTAGCTCTTCCACAAAATATCACATGCGGTATTTTAAATATGAGGGAAGCTTTTCTCAACAGGTTTCAGGAATTTAGAAACAGCAAAGCGACGTTAGCCTTTGTTAAAAAAACCTCTCAATGCTACTGTAACAGAATTAAATTTTTCTCCCTTTAATATTGACATTGGCAACTTTGAAATGCAATTGCTGAATTTAAAAAACAAAGAACTGTGGAACTCGAAATTTGAACGTCTTTGTCCTGATATAGAAATATTGGAGAAAAACAAATGTGAACTTAGTTCACAGCACAAGTGGTCTGCTTTGAAAGACCTGGAGAAGGAAGATATGTTGATTTTTAACACCTGGAATAGTATTCCTGACTCATATAATCAACTGAAAAAACTAGCGTTTGCTGTTCTTTCCTTTTTTGGGTCTACATATTTATGCAAACAATCATTTTCAAGCAAGAACCTTATCAAGAGTAAATTGAGAAGTCGTCTTATTGATGAGAACCTGGAATCATGCCTAAAATTAAAAACAACAACATACATGCCCTAACTCAGGGGTGGGCAAACTTTTTGACTCGAGGGCCACAAGGGGTTCTTAAACTGGACTGGAGGGCTGGAACAAAAGCATGGATGGAGTGTTTGTGTGAACTAATGTAAATTCAAAGTAAACATCATTACATAAAAGGGTACAGTCTTTTTTTTTTTTTTTAGTTTTATTCATTTCAAACGGGCCGGATTTGGCCCGCGGGCCGTAGTTTGCCCACGGCTGCCCTAACTGGTTTGGCTCAGTGGATAGAGTGTCGTCCTGTGGACTCAAGGTTCCCAGGTTCGATTCCGGTCGAGGGCATGTACCTTGGTTGCAGGCACATCCCCAGTGGGGAATGTGCAGGAGGCAGCTGATCGATGTCTCTCTCTCTCTCATCGATGTTTCTAACTCTCTATCCCTCTCCCTTCCTCTCTGTAAAAAAATCAATAAAATATATTTTTAAAAAAAGAAAACAACAACAACAACATACAAACCTGACTTACCCAAACTTTCCAAGGAGATGCAAGGCCATTGTTCACATTAGTTTTGTCAGTCATTGTCATGATTTAATTTTATGATATTGTAAGGTAAATTGTATGGAATTTAATTTTATCAATAAATAATATCGTTATTAAGTATGATATCAAGTTTTATTCAACGTACCTATAGTTTAACTAAGACTTAAAACTTTAAGTAAAGTTTATTAAGTTAATTTCAGGGAACATTGTGGAGTGAAAGAAGATGTAGTGTCGAGGATTGAGAAAGGTATGTTGAGATGGTTTGGACATATAGAGAGGATGAACGAAAGGAGATAGACGAAACAAGTATACAAGACGAGTGTGGATGGGAGAGTTGGAAGGGGTCGACCTCAGCGAACGTAACTCAATCAGATTGAGGACGTTTTTAGCAAAGGCCAGCTTAGGAGTACCCTAATTAAGTAATAACAATGTACCTACCTATATAGTTTAAGTTTAAAAAATTTGGCTCTCAAAAGAAATTTCAATCGTTGTACTGTTGATATTTGGCTCTGTTGACTAATGAGTTTGGCGACCACTGAGCTAGGGCATGTCACTTCTTTTCTGTGCCCACGGTCCCTTAGTGATCTGGAGGGCTCACCCTGGCCCAGTTCCCATCTACACCTGGCACTGGAGGGCATTTGGGCTAGTCACAGCCATCCGGCCATTGCAGCTTGTGCTGGGGCCTGGGCAAAGCATTTTAAACAGGCTGCCTTAGAGATTCCCACCCCTGTCACAAAGCAGGAGATTCAGCTCAGAGTGGTAACTGCCAAGACTCGATTTCAGCCTGACTGCCAGCCTGTGAAGGTGCCAATGTCAGCAGCTGGGGTACTTCTTTGGTTGGGAACAAGGGCCACCCTGGGGGAGGGGTTGGGGGGAACCAGAAGGGCCACCCTGGGGGAGGGGTTGGGGGGAACCAGAAGGGCCACCCAGACGGAGGGTTGGGGACTGCCTGGCAGCAGGAACTGGAGTGTCTGACTGGGTTAACATGAAACCTCTCTCATTTGGTTCGGCTTCAACTGTTTTGAAATCAGAGTCACTCCTTTTTCAGTTTTCTGTAGTCTACAGAGCCTACATAGAAACAGAGGGAATAAGCAACAGAGACCCTAGAATCTTTGTCAGAGCTTCTTTTCAAAATGTTTGTTTTGTTGTGTGTGTCTTTTTATTTATTTCAGAAAGTAAGGGAGAGGGAGAGAGTTAGAAACATCAATGGTGAAATTCATTGATCAGCTGCCTCCTGCATGCCCCCTACTGGGGATTGAGCCCACAACCCGGGCATGTGCCCCGACCAGGAATCAAACTGTGACCTCTAGGTTCATGGAACCACGCCTGCCAGGCAGAGCTCCATTTTAGAATGAGGAAGTCTCAGAGAAAATGGGTCTTGCATTTCGTTCCTCAGGAGGCTACTCAGGTTCTCTGGACAGCATTGGTTTAGAGTCAAGTCCTTCAACAAGCTCAGCAAATAGCATTTCAAGCCAACACTGATGCCATGGTCACAGACCTATATTACTCTGGAAACAGCTTTACAGCACCGCCCCCACCCACCAGACTTAGCACCCCTGATCCCTAACCAGATGACTTAGTTCACATTTCAGACAATAGTTAAAGTGGTAATTTTTTAAAAAAAACCTCACCCAAGTACGTTTATTGAATTGAGAGACATGGGGATGGGGAGAGACAGAAACATCGATGTGAGAAACATCAGTTGGTTGCCTCTGATACGTGCCACACAGGATCAAACCTGCAACCTGGGTACGTGTCCTGCCTAGGAATCAAACCCGCAACCTTTTGGGGCACCTGAAGACACTCCAACTGAGCCACCAGCCAGGGTGGAAAATATATTTTTACTAGAGGCCCGGTGCATGAAAATTCATGCGCTGAAGTGGGGTCCCTCAGGCCGGCCTGCCCCCTGACAGTCCAGGAGCTCTCAGGGGTGGGAGGCAACCCGGCGATCAGGGGAAGGAGACACCCCATCACACCTCTGCTGCTGCCATTGCCGGCAGCACAAGCCTCCGCCGGCCCTGGTTACCTGAGCCTCGGGTGGCCCTGGACGGCTAGGGGGTTGAGGGGACTGGGAGACTCCGGAGGAAGGTGCGCAAAGCAGCTAGGCCCACCTGGGGGGCGGGCCTGGCCTTGCCGCACGCCTATCGCCCCCGCGGGGCTAAAGGGACTGGGGGCCGCCGCCATCTTTGAGGGCATGACAGTCAATTAGCATATTCCCTCCTTATTGGCTGTGGGCGCCACCATCTTTGCAAGTGTGTGAGGGTCAATTAGCATATCCCCTCTTTATTAGATAGGATTGATTTCAGAGAGGGAGAGATAGAAACATTTATGTTGAGAATCATGGATCGGCTGCCTCCAGCATGTCCCCCCACCTGGGACTGAGCCACAGCCCAGGCATGTGCCCTGACCGGGAATCGAACCATCACCTCCTGGTTCACAGGTCAACACTCAACCACTGAACCATGCCAGTTGGGCCAGGGTGGCAAATTTTGTTATAGTGTACCATCACCATCACCACCACCAAGTCCTACCCGAAACAACGTGGAAGTCTTTGCTGTATTATAATGTGGAATATTAATCTCTAGAACCATAATTTCTCTTGAAGAAATAATTCCTCTCACACAGCCCAGAGTAATTGCCAAACTGTTTAATCAGTTGTTCATAGTTTTTCCAAAATTATATAACCCTGACATCTAACATGTGGTCATTTGCTTATGACTTCTGCCAAGTGTAAGGGCCTCAGAACTGGGTATTTTAAGAAGAAAAAATTACATCCTTGTAAATAAAAATTTAAACCAAAGACAATCTCAGATTGTTTGTTTGGAAAATATTTGTCATTTTTCTCCAAACACATCTCATCTTTGCTTGGCCTTCTAAGAATAAGCAACCTTTTCCTTTAGGTCAGAACATACTAGTGTCCCAGGGTGGATTAATGTCACCAAATGATATCTTAAATTTGAGGATTTCTCCTCCCTCTTCAGTTTTTAACTTTATGGGCAAGGTCAGTTTTATTGGAAAAGCTAATGAGATCTATGAACCTTCTTTCCAAAGTCCAAACTTTAAAGGGTTCATAAACCCTGGTTCAGGAAACTTGGCTCTAATAAACCAGTGCAGTGGCATTGCTTCCAAACACACAAAAATAGACAAGTGAAATATTATTGGAGGTCATGAACACCACACAAAATATGTAGCCTGAATGAATACCATCTGGTTGGCTGTCCTCAAAAATAGGTACCACTATTCCAAAAAAAAAAAAAAAAGAGATGCCCGGCCAGAGTGACTTGGTTGGTTGGGCGTAGTCCTGTGTATGAGGTTCGATTCCTGGTGAATGGGTTGTGAGCTCAGTCCCAGGTAGGGGGTGTGCAGGAGGCAGTCAATCAATTATTCTCTCTCACATCAATGCTTCTCTCTCCCTTTCTCTAAAAATCAATAAACTACTTAAAAAGAAATAAAAAAAAAAAAAGAAAAAGGCAGGACAAAGAACAGTTTTTACCCATAATGATTTATTCTCTACAATACTTCGTTAAAGAGTTCAATGATTTGCACTCAGCAGTTATATAGCCAAGAGCCAACCAAGTGTAATACGAAGAATTGGTCTGAAGTCCTTGCACTTGAAGGCTATACAAAGTCTCTTGCTTCAAGGAAATAGGAAAATTAATAAAAAACACACAAGCTCCCTAGGCTCCAGAATCTCAACAGAAAATAACACCAACAGTTAGTGAAATTGTAGGTGTTAACATGGAAAACAGATCTTGTGCAAATATTAACACCTAGGACTTCTGTATAGATGATTTTTATTATAAACAATAAAATGTTATGTCTCCATTACAAACCTTTCATACTGAAAGGATCTCTAACATGAATTGCTTTAATATTAATTATGAAGCAAAAAAAGTTTAAGAACCTCACAGTGGGAACAATCCAACACCGACAAACTCTAGTGATGAGACATTCTCTTTTAATGTAAAACAAACACAATTCATAATTACAGAGAGAATGTCCTAGCTGTGGGTGTTATGAGACAAGTTAACTCTCCAGACCAAAAGGCACTCACTGCTAGGGATGAAACAAGCTCTGACCAAACCAGCCACGTGGGGTTGGTTCCTTGAAAACAGTGGTCACCTACGGTTCAGCTTGAGCAGCCCAAGGACAAACGGAGCAAGCAAAACCATCCCTTCTCTTTAATCCCACCACTCACACGTGGACTGGCCGCCCTCATCACTGCGCAGGTGGAGTGTGGGGAGAGCAGTTCAGTCCTAGTTGGGAGCTGTCATCCCCTCTGCACAACGGCCACACGGATGATCCAGACTCAGTGTTTCTCCTGAGAGCCACCTGCCACACCTTCATGAGGTGGCCATGACCGGGCACTTCCAGACTGCTTCCTGACTAGGCCCCGTTTAGGACAGACACGGATAGTGCCATTCTTTCCAGGGCCACGTAACTTTCCTTGGTCAACTCTGGAGTCCCTGTGACAAGCAAGAGAACCCCGAGCATCTCTGCTGCTGGGCCTGGATGGAGCTCAGGGACTGGAAGCCCCCTGCAGTGTGGTGCTGGGCTTCACCAGCCAGTTCTTGTGCAGATGCCCAGCCCCCTGGTGTGTGGGTTCAAATTTTTCTGTTCATTTTCTTAACGGCAGGTATCCTACCCCACCCCTGATAAGATAAAATAAAAAATAAAAAATCACACTATACATTGGGGAAGACAGATAGGGCAGCATTTCTACGAGAAACAATAGGCTTGAAAAGCATGGCACTGTAAATGCTTGCATGACCAGTTTCACTGAGCGTGCTCAGGGGTAAAATTTTAGCACCATTTTTTTTGCTTTTTTTTTAATCTTTAGAAATTAAACACAACTTTTAACATAGAACACTTGAACAATAATGAAGTGTAGCCCTATAGATCAATACTGTTGTACAAATTGAAGGTGGATGGTTTAGTCTCAAACTGACCACCCTGACATCAATCCATGGCACCTAAAAGTAACTGTCGTCACGTTTGTAACAAGATATTTATTATTCTCAGCAGCAGGAAATCATGAAACAATCCCTTCATCTTCAATAGCTTTTTTCATTACCTCTGCAAGGAAAAGTGGCAGGAAGTGAGAATGCAGCCCAGCCTGGGCATCCGATGTCAGCCCATTGCCCCTGCAGGCGCCATAGCCTAAGGGATGACGCCCAGCTAACTGGTCCACCTTTACTCCTCTCTTCCAAGAAACGAGACAGCTATGCCTATAATAGCATGTGTCGTGTCTTAGACTGTGTCCCTGTCCACCCCCTTCCCCAATTCCTGGCAGAAAAAAACTCAAAAGGTCTTTTGACTTGACTATTTGCCCATTCTGGAAAGCCACACCATCACCACATAAACTTTTAAAAATAAATTAAATAACAACATTGTGTCCACCAGGTCGACATCCAATCACTTCAAGAGTTCTCCAAGTGCGCTGCTGGACAGTTACCCTTAGGGTCTCTCCTCCCACCGGCCACTCCTCCTGGCCCTTCCAGCAGTGCCTCCGTGACAGTGCTGCCACAGCCCCTTCCAAGTCCCAGCTGCCATCAGCTCTGCACCAAGCGGGTGAAGGCTGGGCAAGAGGGAAGAGGAACTTGCTGACAGGTACTTAGTCAGCAGCTATGGGAAAGGGAAGTAAGTATGCCACAGGAAAACGGAATGACCTAGACTAAAATGAGCTGTTTGGAACCCCGTCCCGGTGGGGTGAAGACTCCCAGCATATTAGGCAAGATAACGATTCACCTTGTTTAATTACACAGCTTTGTTCTAAGTCCTGTAAAGGACTGAATCAACTGTCTTCTCACTTCTACAGGGAAACTAGGAAAAGGAACTCCTCTGCTTTTCAGTCCCTTAAAGATGTTTGCCTGAAAAGACAAAAACAGTTTGGAGACCTGGATTTTCTCCTGTGACAATGTGTCTTTCTACAGCCCGACCCAGGTGCTTGTGTGAACATCTATGTCTTCTGTGAACCTATGCAGCTATAGGCACTGCTACCAGGCGAGGAGTGAGGTAGCCGGGTGGTAAGAAGGAGGCCTCCCCTTTCACGCTGCACGCGGCAAGGATGTCAGGACCTCCTGCAGGAGTCCCAGTTCATTCCTCAGCAGGTTCCACCACAGAGCTCCCTGTGCAGTACCAGGAGACTCCCTGCGAGAAGAGCGCCAGAAAATCCAACTGACAGCAGGGTTAGAATCAAACCTTGGAGGCTGGCTGAGCATCGAATGCGACCTGCCACACCATCTGGGGGCTTTCCATCGGGATGTGGGTGTCTGTCCAGGAGCCTCACAAGACTCACGGTGCCCACGGCCACCCCGAACATGGCGTCCACTTATGAAGCATGGAGGTTGTCATCATCTGTTGGTATGCAATGAACTGGACGTTTAGAAAAAGGAATTTAAAACAACCTAAAAATGTGTCTTGTTGGTCTCCATTGCCCAGACTGCCAGGGGAAAACACATCTACTGGATCTGGGGAGGCTACAAGGGTGCAAGTGGGGTCAGCCTTCAGGAGTTATGACTTCCAGCTCCCACCGTGTAGCCAGCAAGCAGGTGGCCACGTGCATGCCGAGGGCCTTCTGAACCCACAGGCAATTCTCACTAGTCATGGAGGAGCCCCAATCCAACGGAACCCCATAATGAGGAAAGGCTGAAATAAGGCTTGGGCCCCGCGAGTTCTGTTTCATTCAATATAATCCCGTTCTCCCACCCCAACCCCGAGTCAGCTGGAGGCAGACTTGGCAACGGAAGCTAGCATCATAAAATGGTGCAGTAATAGAAGTAACTGGACCAGGAAGAGGAGGCGTCTGCTCCAATGATGTCATAGCCATTGGTGGCCACAGGGGGGTGGGACTGGTCATGCAGCCGTGTGTCAGGAGTAATGATTGTAGAGGGGCGGGGCATGAAGAGTGCCATTCTGGAAACAGTGCTGTCGAGAAGCAATATATTCTGCATAACTGATTGTCACTTTCTCACTTCGGTACCTGTGTAAGGAGACAGGGAAGGGTATTATGAACCCCAAACACTTCATTCAGTAAAGTCACTCAGCATAGAAAACCAAAAGCTTATTCCACATTTTGAAAGAATAAAATGGAAGACCAAGAGCAACCTTACTTACAGAAAATGAAAGACAGCACAAGAAAACAATGTTGTTATTACAAATGAACGAGATGAAAAAGCACAATCACAATACCCCTGAGCAGGGGTTTTCTGCACATCCCACCTTTAAACACTACATGTGCTTATCGTCAGGCTGCTCTTAAGCAATCTGCTACGGGGTCTGGAGGAAGAATCTCAAGTCAGAGGACATGGGTGGCAGATTGGAAGAGGACTGCAACCAAGGCCCAGTGTAAACTGCAAGTCTACTTTCAGGTTAAAATGAGGTAAAATGACAGAAATACAACCTCAATTTGCAAAAAGCAACAAGCGAGTTATTTATAACCAAAAGGGCACAGATACCTAATTCTGGGTCAAATTCTCATGAAGCAGGTTAAAGGATCCTGGGTCTAGATAGGACGGCCTCAATTCCTGGATGAATATGTCATCTATCCCAGGGTCATCAGAACAGAATTCATAGCACTTTGGCTTTGCTCTGGAAAGAGCCATGAGTCAGGATGCGAAGCATGGGTGTTACAAACCTATGGAGCCTACTACAGACCACAGGAGCTGGGTGTGACAGTCCTTACCCAGAGCCATCTCTTTCCCACTGTAATCACTCCTCCACTGCAAGGTGATTATTCCTGAATTTTGACAGGGAAATGGCTGTTCAAATAAATTATAATAATAATAATGATAATAATAATGCTTTGTATTTGAAGATTTATTTTTTAATTTTTCTTGGAATCCAAAGCATTTAAAAAACACTGGGTTATCTTCCAAATAGACCTGTGAGGTTACTGTATGATTATTCAGCATTTTACAGATCAGGGGCCAGAGGCCCACAGAAGCCCATAGAAGCTAAACCTCTCAGTGTTTTTGATTTCAGTAGGGATGGGAAGAGAACTGACATCTATGCTTGGCCCTGGTTTAGAAATTCCTCATGTATCACCTTACCACAGCCTAAAACAACCCTAAGGCATTATCATTCACTTGTTACAGACAGGAGAGTTTTCCACTTAGAGTGGCAGAATAACTGACCAGGTCCCATGGCTAAGTGGTGGGGCTGTGTTTCAGACCCCAAGGCCACGTACACTCTACCACACTAGGCAGCCTCCCCAAAGAAGCATTCACTTCAAACAGGCAGGGGCGTTTCCTTTCAACTCTTCATACCAAGCATTTTCTGACTGTTCCTTTAAGGTGCCACCTGACCGCCTCAGCCTCCCCCAAAGCGCATCTGGCACAGACACCCACGACTTGCTCAGTGGCCTCGCCCTGCTCCCTCTGCTCTCAGCTTAGCTGTTGGGACACTCAGGAGGCTGAGTCTTTGCTTTGCTGCCACTGTCTCCGCAGGGCCTCACTGCACCGCACTTCTGTGGTTAGGAGACAGCAGAGATACTTTCTTCCCCTTTCCATCAACAAGTACCCTCCATGCAAACCCAACTAAATTAAAATGACAAGGAAAACGAGACAGGGGGTTACCTGGTGAGTCTGATCGTTTTTCTGAATTCACTGGTAATTGGAGCCTTAAAGCCACCTTTCCTGAGCAAGGAGTCTATTGTCTGGATCTGATCCCAGTCTGAGGAGAGGAGACACACTGAGGTCAGCGCACAGTGACAGAGGGGCATGCTCTCACACAGGGAGAGGCGGAAGCGGCCATGTCTGCTAGGGAGGAGCAGGGGGAGCCCTGGGCACCGAGTGGTCTGCTCACTGACAGTCCAAGGGAGACCTTGGCGGCTTGAGTAGGCGGCCATGAGACATGATTGTACAGCGAGTGCACCACATGCGTCGTGAAATACCGTGCAGATGCTGAATGAAATAATTACTTGTCTAGGGCCCCCACTCGGCCCCCAGCTGCGCACCTGGTGGGAACCAGGCGGATCGGGGGC